TGACCACTCGTTTTGACTTATTTATTAATATGCTCTCTCCTGCTCGCTGAGGTCAGAGTGCTCGAAAAAAAATTTTATGACTTCTTTCGGAGCTCTTTTATATTTTTTTATGCTGTTTACTTCTTCTTTTAAGAATTCTCTTTTTAAGGTTATTAAAACAGTTAACAATTTTAATTATTATTATTATATCTCAACGAAAACAAAAATTAAAATTATAAAAGAATTCTCTTCTCTTCTTCTTTCTTTTTTTTTGTATTTATACTACTACTTTATAATGTTTTCTTCTCTTCTTTTTGTATTTTATTCTTTTTTTGGCAAACCGTCAATGACTTTTCTCCTTATTTATTTAAAATTACTTTTTTCATTTACTATTTCCTCTTTTTCTTCTGTGTTGTAATTCTGCAGATTCTCGCTATTTGTTACAGTTAATGTAAATTATTATTGTAACGAGACCAAAACAACTGCAAATAAATTGAATTTTAAATTTTTTGATTTAATTTTCTCTTTTATTATTTTTAAGATTCATTCTCGTTGGTCTTGCTTTTGAGCATTGAGTTAATGGACGAGTGGAACAAATTTATAATTACAGCTGTTTATTGACTATGTCTGAAGTTATTTGACATGAGTATTTGTCAGTAGCTAGGTGGCTGTCATTAATATTTTTTGGATTTTAATAGTTTTATTTTACAGACTTGTGCGATGTGGATGTGATCTATAACTGAGATATGTAGATCAGTATTTAATTATAACAAAATATTGAATACACTGCCTTAAAAAGTTGATTTTGTGCAGACAATTGACAGTTTAAATATTATTTTTATCACATGAGACACTATCTAGACCTGAACTGAGATAGTTGTGAAAACAAAATGTGCAAATTAAGATATCTGACTGTTATTTGAGATAAAATTAACAAAACGTTTTAAATATTTTGTTATCGTCTCAAGCTAAATATAGCTTCAGAAATTAGCATAAACAATAATGAAGCTCTTATCTCTTAACTTGATAATTTTTTAAAAGATAAATACGATTTAAGAAATAATAGATGAATCATGACGAATCTGCTATACAAATCAATGCTGCTGCAATCAACTCCACAACTAACTTGCTCAATTAGTTACACACAGGCATGCTTATCGGAAATATCAGAAAACTGAAGTTTTTTTTAACTACTGTTTAGTAAATTTGAGTTACTTATTTATAAATATTTCAATAAGGCTATCAGAGTTTGAAATCTAAAGATAATTTGTCAGATTTTTCATTTTTATTTTTAACTCTTGTGGTTTATGTCATTCAAAAATAAATGACAATTCATCTAAAAATATCAATATTTGTTTATCTGTCTCTCCACCTTTTCTGACCAAATGCTCAAAAACAAGCCCAAAAGATTATGCCTCAGCATAATATTAACATAAAATATTTCAATAAATAAAATTGAACAAAAATATTAAAAGAGAAATTATTCAGAATATTTTGGCATTTATTATAGTTGAGTATCGTTATAACTACGAGGCTTAAAAATCAATATAAAATAATTAATTAGTCGAAATAATAATTTAAAATAATTAATGACAATTTCTTTAAGTTAGACACTCTGAGAACCCGCATATCCCAAAGTTTCAATTATTATTATCATCATATTTTCCCATTATCATTATGGTAAATTATGTTTTTTTAAGTATCGTTGTGAGATCGACGTCTTGTGACTCTACTTTGTCATGTAAAATTCATGCCCATATATTTTATGGCATTATACGTGTGCTATAAACAATGCAATATGATCACACTAACTACCGTTAAAATGAACTATCAAAAAATTGCCAATGGATTCTCGACTGGCTTTATATTTGTGCCTTTATCTTCATCTAAAATTTATTTTTCCACGTTATACTTCTTTCTACTGATAAGAATATTACCAACACTAAACTAAATGTACTCTGTTTTTTTTTATCAAAGAAATATACAACTGAAAAATATTCTCAGATAATGAACAATTTCTTTCTATTTCACATGAACAAAAAATATTATTTTTTAGCCCTTTTCCGGTTAGGATCTTTTTTTTTTGTTTTATTTATGTAATTTCTCTTCTCAAAAATGTGACAAGAGGAAAAAAATGATTTTTATTCGGATGATATAAGTGCGATATTTGAAGCCAGGCGAAAAACTAAATCGCAAAATTGAGTAAAATTATGAAAAAGCTCTGAGAGGAATAAAAATGAGAATACTGTTTTTTTTTGCTGTGCAGTGATTTCAAAAGAAAAATAAGAAAATACAAAAGAAAAAACTTTATTTTTCACAGTGTACAACAACAAAAAAAATATATAAAAGTCTAGCTTTTTTGGGAAAAATGATGATAAAATGCGCAGGCGCAAAATTCTTTTTGAGGTAGAAAAAAAATTTTTTTTTGATGAAGAAAAGTGTTATGTATGAGTTGAGGAATTTTCTGATCCCAAATGAATAAAAATAGGCGAAAAAGAGAGAATGATTGTCTTTATGGCACTTTTAAATTGTTCAATTCACTTTAATTTTTCTTTACAAGCACCCGCGATCTTTTAAATTAATTCAAAATAATTTTACGCGCTCTCACTCTCAGCTGACGTTTTAATTTGAAAGGAAAAAAAGAAGAAAAAATTATAATCGCGACACCAATTTTTTTTCTATTTTTTTTTTTTATTTTATTTTCTTCTCTTTTTGTAGTTTGTGTATTTTATTACAAAATGCAACCACTTTACTGTCACTGTGGAAATCTTCCTTACGAGTAGCGAGAAACAAAAAAAAATATATATATACTCAACGCGATAAAACCTCGCGAACTAGCTGAAACGGATGAAATAATAATAATCAATTGGTCTGACTCCACTCTCCACTTTACAGACCTGCTGATAACGAACACGAATGAACTTTTTTTCTTTATTTGCTTTTTTTCGTTCCTATTATTTTATTTTCTTAGCTGTATTTTCGCTAGGAACTTATGATAACTGGTAAAAATATTTTAATACAAAAAACTTCTCTGTATGCCTCTATTTGCCCATATTTTTAAGTGGAATAAAATGTGAAATAATAAAAATAAAATATTATTTTATTTGTCTGTATACCGACTTCTTTTTGTTCGTCGTGTGATTCAGTGAATACGCGAGAGAACTACTGAGTAGAGAGAAGTGAACTCGACTCGACTTTGACGGGCCACAGAAAAATATTTTTCTTTCTATCTTATTTCTCCTGTGTGGTGGAACTCATACATTGAAGCTTTTACTAATACATTGACACATTATGCAAGATTTAAGATTGTGTTTGGGTATTTTTGGTTAGATGATTATTGCAAAATATGTTTGTTCAAAACTATTGATAGAAATTCAATGAGATTATAGATTGACATCCAATAACAATTTAATATTAATCAAGAACGATTTGAGATACAAAATTTTTATCAATTGTCAACCTCCAAAATTTTTCAGAAACATACATTTCAATGTCTGACAAATGGAAATAAAATAACAAATTCATGCATTTCCGAAATTCACTGCTATTTACTCATACAAACATCTTCAAAAGTCTTATCTGTGGGCAAACAGAGAACGCGAGAAAAAAAGAGAATATTTTGTCCCCACTAAACTTCCTATTTACTAAACTCATATACTAACTTCAGAATGACATTTTTCATTAATTATTTTTAAAAAATCAATTGATTTTGCGATTTAAGTATTTAGTTTGAATAATTTTATCATTACGAATACAGCAAGTGTGACTAATTAATTGAAAACTATTTCTGAATTGATCAAAATTAAAATTGAAAATTATTTCTCTTCATGCACACGATGAGGGGAAATTTTGCGCAACTTTTACTCTCTGAGCTCACACATTTTCAGTTGTTATGTATTAGGCATTGCACTTTTATTATTGTATTTCACATGAATTTTTATGTTCAAGTGAGCTAAGGGAGGAAAAAGCTTCTCACGTTGCATTGCGAAAAATGAGAAAAAATGAGATAAAATAAGGTTTTTTATTGAAAAAAATTAGAACTTTACGGGTGTCTGAAGTTCATGCTGCATGATTTTTTCAGCTGCAAAAACCTCGTGACTTTTTTGAATAATTTCATTGAATTTTCTTTTCATGCACTTTTATTGATTTATTGGATTTTAATTATTGTATTCTATCTTAACTCTGTGAATATGATTTAATCATACTTTTCTATCTAGTGAAAACTTATGGCATCAAATGTACATTTAATATAATTTTTTCCTCTAAACAAACACTTCAATGTTCATTAAAATAGAGATAAAAAATCGAACAAGATAATAATTATTGGTATCAATAAAGTCGCATTAACACACAATTATGAATATGATATCATTAATTTGGCATTAAAATAAACGCATTTTAACAAGAGCAATTAAAATTTAATTAAACTGTTTAATTGCTCTTAAGCTAGATTACCTTTTTCCAATAAACTTATTTGCTCGTTTTTATTTCTGTTGAATTTTTAAAATTTAAGTTTATAGTATTTCGCATCATTAAAATACGAAGTCGCATTATTTATATCTTGAAGAACTTTTTTGATTTGCTGTTTACTAATAGAATGTTAAAATTAAGAAAATCAAAAGAAATGTGAAGTTTTTAAAGCTTAGTAGCGCACCTACAAAGCTCTTCTAGGTAATCTTTTGTGCCATACAGTTAATACATAAATGACATATAGTTTAATAACAACTGTCCTAAAGAGATAATAGTTATTATTTACAAAGTCTGAATATTTCGCTAAACAAATTGATTAATTTTGAAACTTAGAAATTCGAACTATAATTTAATCAAATTAATTTTATCTTAAAAAATAATTTTTTAAGAGAATTTATTTAAATTTGTTTTAAAAAATTAGTTTTTACGGTTTTTTTTTAAATTTCATATCATCCTTGCTGTTTTCCACCTGTAAAACAAATGTTACAAATCAATTAAATACCAAATTTTGTGTTTAAATTTTGCTTTATTAGATTTTAATTATTCATATTATTTTAAGTGTATTTAATTTTCAATCAATCAAAAATTAAAACAAATCCCACAGATAATAATCCTTAAGAATAATTTTGAAAATAGTTTTATTGTAATGCATTTGGATAATTAAACTATCAAAAAAAAAATTAAAAATTCAAACAAAATAAATATGCGACAAAAAGTAAGTCATTTTGTAATATAAAATAAAATAATAATCTTTTATAAAAAAAACTATAGTTTTTTAAAATGCAATACTAATACAAATTTTTTTTAATCTTTAATTTTAATTTCACTGGCTTTGTCTATAGACTTTTGATATTTACTATTTAATTCTTATTACATGTAGAAAAATATTAATTAAATTTGTAAACTCCTAAAGTTTTTAATATCATATCTAAGCTCGAATTTGTGACAATTTTTCTTGAATAAATATTCTTCAAAGCTTAAAAAACCATAACTAGTAATTATGAGTTTAATAAATTTAATTGGAATAAAATATTTTAGAATCTAAGTGAAGAAAAATTATCATTAAATCAGAACAAAATTGCATTTTCTTGTTACAATATTAATGTTTTCATGATTTTTAAGACTAGAATGTTAAAATCTCAAATAAATTTTATCTTTAATCGTCTAGCCTTGTTTCTTAAATTTATAGCACATTCTTTTAAAGATAAATTAAAATCTGTTTATAACGGTTTAAGTTTAATATTATAATTTTTGATTTGACCAAGTTGAAAATTGGAATCATTTTTAAAATTGAAACTTTAAAGATTAGCCAAATTTGAAATCATTTTTAAAATTACCTAAGGAATTTAAAATGCAATTTTTGATGTCTTTTAAAAAACGAAAATATTGTCAATTCTAAATGAATTTTCATTTTAGATAATTCCTGCTTGTATCCACCCTTATTGATACTTCGAAATTGTAAATCTCTGTTTTTACTATCAATTTGACTAATCGAACGTCATTTAACAACAACAGCAACAGCCATTAGACGATTCCACTGCGTCTTCAGAAATAGCTCCACGTCTATAGACAGTTAAAAGTTGCCTATGAGATCTAAAAAGAAAGAATTAAATAAATTAAAAGATTAAAAAAATAAATTATAGATTTATTACCGAACTACAACATCCGTATCCTGCACAACTTCGCCATCACAATTCCAAACACTGCTATATCTATTCGGACCCACAGAAATTGGAAGCGTCGAGTCAGTCAGACTTCCTTCACTGTTACTATTTAAAGCTTTAAAGTAAAATTTCTTTGTTCTATAAAGTTCAACAAATGGATATTCCGCAATTTGTCCTTTTTTACTCGCAAGTTTTAACAATAGCTTAATGTTTTGAAAAAATCCACCGTGACGCACGAGAACAAGATGCATATATCCGTCGCCAAGATGGCAGTATGGCGAAAATCCTGACGGTGAACGTTCACAAGCACACGAAATGTTTGCAGAATTCACCATAAAAAATTTTCCCGTTATTCGCTTATATTTTTCATCACCTTCGTTATCAGGTTTAATTACGTCGGTATTGTTGTTGTTGTTGTTGTTATATGTTCTAGGCTTTGAGCAAACATTGCAGTTTTCATAACATTTTAATTCTTGTTCATTATCACAGACATTAGAATTTTCATTTACTTGAGATGAATTGCTTTCAGGCTCCTGAAGTAACATTAATTCTGCATCATAGCCACGATTCATTAGAATTTTTTTAAATCCAACATACTCATATCGCTTAGGTCCAAGGAATCTATATTGATCATTTTCAAATGCAATATCACCGAGGTAGCCATAAGCAACAACACTTGCATAGAATTTTATTAATCCTCTATCAGTTGATATGCTCGAAATATCAAGACCTGTAGTTTGTCCCAACACAATGTGTATTATACAGGTTTTAACGTCTGTTGTACCATGCATACAATATGCGATTGTGTCTGTTGATCCAGCGGGTATGATACCTATATTAAAAAATATTATTTATTTTGCTGATAAATTGAAGAAAATTTTCTTTTTTTATCATACCACAAGGGATATCAGGAGTTTGAATATTATCAAAATCTATATTTAACTGCTCATTGTTCTCAAGGCTACTGGAATGTTCATTCATCATTTTCCGATAAATTAATCCATTAAACAATTCCGAAAATGTTCCATCGCCTGAAATGAATAAAACGATTTTTGTAAATTATTCAGAATTAATGTAAAATGGATGTTAATTTTAATTTTACGGCAAAAAGAAATATCTGTGGAAGTTGATAAGGTCAAATGATGTATTAAAACTTTTTAATGTTCTACAGTATTAATATTATTTCTTAAAAATGAACAGCAGACATATTTTAATGTCGGTTCAAAAAGGCAAGTTTGAATTAAAATTCAAGTAGCATAAATGCAATGTATAAATTAGGTTCTTTGATTTGCTTTTGGTCAAAAGATTAAAGGGAATTAAAGCACCAAATCAATATTTACTTCACATGTACTTATCTTAAAACAGCTTAAAACATTTACTTATCATAGCTTTAAAATCAAACAGCTGATAATATATTGAGCCCCCCGTGGGGTGGATGGAGTTAATTTTATCTTTGACTGAGATAAAAATCTTCTAATAAAGCTTGATAAAAAATCTCTTATCTAAATTCAATGGATTTTTTCGTTCAATAAAATATCTTAATGTAAGTTGCTTTGTTCGTTGAGAATTTGTTCAGCGTCCTTAAATTGTAAAATGGGTTCTTTTCTATAAATTTAAAATATCCTAAGAACTTTCGTTGATTTCGTGAAGAAATTATTCTAAAATTAAATGTTGCAATTCATATTCAAATTAAATTTTTAAACAGTTATTTTTGCTAATAGAATTCTTTATTACTCATCCTTAAAGCTCGAAGATGTTTTCAAAATTAATACAAAAGCTGAAAAGATTAAGCACACCGTTTAAATACCGTTTTACATCTTTATGAAATCAGCAACGAAAATACCTTTCATTTAAGTTTATTTTACATTGAACAAAACAATTTAATTATTAACTATCAACACACATTTTTGTTGGCTGTGAAGTTGTGTTGAGATCACAGATCAACAATTACGTACTAATTATTTCTAAGAATAGAATTACTTAATGGAAGGAAATTATCGAATAAAATTACTTAATGAGAGGGAAATTATCGAAATAGATCTTTAGCAAATTTTTCGTCGCATTAAAATGCTAGGAAACTGCTTTAAACCCAAAGCAATTTGTAGTAATGCAGTTTTATAATCATGATGAGTTAAAGTGATTTAATCATATTTTAAATATTGCACGCGTGTGTATAGTCAATTTAATATTAATCTTGCAATTAATAAAATTCATGCAACTTTAATTAAAGATATCAAGGATTTGGTTTGTAACTTCCAATTAATCAATCAAAAACGCAGCTAATATCAAATCTACAAGTTTTTGCTTCTCATGTTACAAAATATGTGTTTTTGTTTGTTATAGAATTCACCTTGCATTCTTTAAAAGTCACAAAATCAACATCCACACCAAAGAGTTTCCTCATAAAAAATTATCTTTATTAAAGAAGAATTCGAATGTCATCGAAACATTTAAAGCTTAATGTGAAACTTTATGATAATTCTTATCAGTTCCTTAAAAAAAACAAATATATTTTAAGGATATAATTTCAACCTGAATCAAGTAATTTTTATAAACTACAAGAATAATTCAAAAACATTTATCTGCTATTCAAGTGATCAAAATATTCATTTCATTGTTTACATGCTTGCAGTCTGCATCTCATTTGAGTATTATAACCTAGTTTTGATCTTAAAATTCTGCTGAATAGTTTTTAATTCTAATTCTAATTCCAGTCTTGATCGTATTAATCTTCCGGATTTGATAATTATTTCTTTAAGTTCCTATAAGTATAGTTGTCCCGAATGGCACAAGTCGGTTAATCGAATAAAAATCTGGCACGAATCTCGTGTGACTCTAGCATGGCGCTTGATTTAAATCGTATCCAGCCATTAGACTTGTGCCATCAGGGTGTGTTTCTTTGGAAATTATTACAACTTCAAATCACAAATCTTCAAAAAATTTCAGGTTTGAGAACCGTAAGAGATTCTGTTTGTTTTCGTCAAATAATAAATGTCTAGTAAAGATTCGGACATTTAAAAAATTCTAAAAAGCTTTAAAAGGGATACGAGAAACAAATACAGCAAAACCCAGTGGTGTTATTAAAAGGAAATGAGCTTTCGTAAGCAAAAATCTTTTTAATTAAAAATATAACTCAATTTCCTTAAGCTGTTACAAAATTTCAGACCATCCTTAATATAGTAAATAGTCCTTAACGTAAATAGGAGATATTTTTAAATTCATGACTAGTTATTCAGATAATTACAAATGTTTTGGTTTGGTTGGACAGCAGAGTCTACCAAAATAATAGTAAATATCCAACTGGTAAGCTGAACGTTTGAAATACGCAACCCAAGGAAGCAATCAAACTATCAGGTGTAACTTAATTGACAATAAAAATACTCGTAAAGTGAACATCTTCCAAAAAAAAATCTCATGTAAAGTCAATGACCTGAACAGTGCGAACATTAGTATAAACTTTGTACCGTTGCTAACTAAGGCCAAACAAAGCACAGCTTTTAAGCATGCGGAATTTCATTTTAAACGACTTAAAAAATAATTCAAACAATTTGCATGCTTAAATTCATTTGTAATTTTCCACTATAAGTCTCAAGTTTAATTCCAGCAATTATTCATATTAGATCTTTAAGTCAGATATCTAATTAAAATCAATGTAAACTTTTTGAATATTTTTGGTTACTATTTATGGTAGATTGTGACCTTGTCAACTCAAAACTTCATCGCCTTGCTGGCATTAACGAAAATTATATGTCTTAGCAGATATTAGCAAAAAAAAAGTAATTACGACAGCTCAATAAAATTAAATTAAATACTGTTAACATAAGCCTGACAAATATATGCTATTAGATTTAAAACATCTATGTGCTATGCTGAATAAAGCGGCGAAATGGCATCAGTGACCTAAATGGTAGAGCGTTGGCCTTACGAGCCAAAGGTCCTGGGTTCAATCCCAGGCCATGTCTAATTTTCGAAGCTCTTTTTCCATTTCACCGTTCTAGTTAAGAAGCTAGGTTCGTTTGTTGGGTGTAGTTTTAAGGCCTTTGGCACAGAATCTGCCTCCTTTGCTAGGTATACAAGGATATACTTGCATCTGGATGACTTCCTTACGGCATCTTGCACACACGAATTGTGACTAGGTACATTGCAGGGTACATCAGGTCTTATGACTTACTCGTGTCTTTGCAATGTGCAGAGCCTGCAAGTGGTTCGGATCCCACTATAAACTGTAGGTCTAAAGGGCGTGGTACAATAGATTCTGTTCTAATTTGAATCGCAGTGCCTACAGCTGAAAGGCTGGGCCCTTCACACATTATTATTATTATTATGCTGAATACAAATTTGAAGACAAATCAGCAAATAAGATATTTTAAAACCCAAACACGAAATCTATGTTTGTAAATAAACAAACAATTTTCATAGAAAATACAAACTGACCTAAGCTAATCTAATTCAACCGAATTGAAAATAGAACCAGGCAATAAATTTACAATATAATCCAATTAAGCATTATTGAATAAGCAAATATTCCCACAACAATCGATAATTTCCAAATGAAAAATTATCACAAAAGCTACCACCGGTCACAATGCATCTTTCAGTGTAAATTAAATATTTCCGACAGTGGCAAATCTCCCGCATAATGTATTTTATATTGTAAATATCCAATTGATCTAAATTAATGAATAAAGATATTCAGACTCACCTCCACTACATGCTATACCATCAAATTGGTCCAAATGCTGCTGCATCACAAGATCGAAAATTTGATTGGGTCTTTGAGAAATGATGACACTGACATCGACATTGGCCATTTGGAATATTGGTTTCGCGTACTTTTCATATAGTTGAAGTGCATTCTTTTTACCACCGTACGGATTTATAAATAATAATAATTTCCGAGGACGTTTAAGAGCTGAAGACAATATGAGCGCATTTTTGAGTGAGAAAAGAATAAAAATAAAATAAAATGTAAATAAACAAAGTTATGAATAAATTAGCGACTTGGCGCTACGTGACTCACTAATCTGAAAACATCAAGTGATACTTACAATTTAAGATTTTGGATAGAGTATCATGCCATTCTTTAATTATATATTTGTCATTATTGTGCAGTGTGATGCTATGGATTCTCCAGTTGTTAATGTTATGGCACGATTTCTTTGAACTTGCACTTCCGACATCCTGGACTTTTGGATCAATACACCGCTTTGCATAATTAATCGTAAAACAACGAAAATCGTCTACATTATTGATACTATTATTTTGTATTTCGACTGAATTATATGACGTCGTTGTGTTAAGAACAGGAAACGCTTGTTGTGTATGTTGTGGCGTTGATGTTGTCGACGAGTTCTTCCTATTTGGATAACTCACACTAATCACATCGTGAATCGGAATGCTAATTTTGTCTGTGAAATTATAACAAAAATTCCATTCAATTTATTTTCAGAATCAAATGTGGTAATTTTAGTAGCAAGTCATTATTCCTTCTTTTAGGAACTTAATACCACAATATTTTAAGTCTGAAATTAATGAGTTTTTTTCTTGCTATATGAAAAGTTTTATTGGAGATTTTTTGTTATTTACTTGTTGTCTGTGGATTCATTAATTTTATTTTTTACTTTATGACGTACATTCACAATTAAGGTATTCATTTTAACTCTTATTTGACCTTTGTGAATTCTAGATTTACTAAAAAGATTTTAAAAATTATTCATAGAAATTTTGTCATCAATTTCACAAGTCATTAAACAAACTGGAAATGTGTAAACATAATCCAGTAGAAGTATGCGCTTGCAAATCACAAAACTGCATTTCAAAACTACATTTGGTTCTGTACGTAGAAACTAGTTTTCGTTATTATGCACTTAGTTTTATGCAAGGTCGTCAGATTCGCACGAATGTTCATTGCTCTCAAATTAATATTTGTTGAGAAATAGTGAATGGAAATAACAAGAAACTTTGTACTTTTTAAGATTTTAATATTACGTACTTTTGTTGGATTTTTCTTTTTCCCATATCAGCGTTTCATTATTATAAAAAACCCGATATCTTTTTTTATCGATTTGAAAAGTATTAAGTAACACAACGTTGTTTAAATCCTGATAATCCTTCGTACTCATTTGGATCTTTTGTGACTTTTGTCCACTTCCTTTAATACTCGAAACTCTTTATTCTTGGTTTCATATATATTACTACTTGAATACTTCAAATGGATTTTTATTGAATTTTTTATGCGAAAAAATCTATTTATCAACTACATAACACATGTGTATCGACGGAATATCGATGCTTAATCAACACCGTGAAACAACTTAGAGTCAACTAAACTAATAACCGGCGTAATCATTTACTTTTATTAATAATTTTATTTTGCACTCATAAGCTTCTCTTGCCTTTTACTACTATTCTTTGTTTCGCTTTTGGATGTTTCGAAATCTAAGGGGTTCTTAGCAAAGTAAAATTTTACATTTAAAAATAAGAAGTGAAAAAATCATTAATTAAGAATTTTTCGCAAAATTCATGAATTAGAAATAAATTATTGTTTTAATTTTATTAGAAACATAAATTTTCTAAAAGCTGTCATTGCTTTAAAATCAAATTAAATGAAATTTAAAATTTTCGTTTGAAAATTCGATTTCGAAAATGTTTTAAAATTTATCCGTTAAATTAATAAACTTTTATTTTTGATTTCCAGGAAGAGAATATATCACCTTGAAAAATCTGTTGTGGTAGATGGTACATCCACGGAATTGTAAACATACACTTTGTTGGCATTATTATTTGAACTTGAAAAATTCTCGTTTTGATTTGGTTTTTGCACTCAATGATTCATCATAGAGTAATGATCTTTTTAAGACAATCTTTTAAAGAGAAGAAGAATCTGTTTTACACTTTTAAAAGAATATGAATTCTTGGGTTTTGATATAGAATATTTTTACGGTGATCATTATTAATCATTAATTTTTTTGAAACAAAAATAATTTTACTTTTTATAAGGATTTCGATCAGTTTTTAGCATCTTTGTATTATTTTAAATAAAAATGTATATGCCGACTTATTACGTTCGCATTTTAGGGGGGAGGGGGGTTTAAAAAATTGTAACAAAATGTAACATAAAGGGGGGGGGGGGGTTAAAGGACTTTAAAATACAATCATAATACCTATAAAAAATTATCAAAACAATAAATTATGAACGTTCAGGGGGGGGGGGGGGGGGGTTGTGAGTTGTAACATATTGTAACAACGGGGGGAGGGGGGATGAAAAAATTCGTTTTTTGCGTAACGCAATAAGTGAAAAGCCCTATAATTAAATTATTTAACATTTAACTTTCAACTGTACCAAAATATATTCCCTAGCAGATCATTTTTCGAAGTTTCCATACCGTGAATTTCGAACTTTCGAACAAATAAAAATAACAAAAATTCCTTTTGCCGAGTATAAACAACAAAAATTTCAGAGACAAAAATTAATGTTTTATGGTCATAAATCCATTAAAAATAACGTAATAACAAAAAATTTCCAATATGGATCGTGTGGAGAAGATAATGGATATGGTCCTGAAGATGGATTTTATCGAGGAGACATTTTCTGACATTGCTGTTCAACGACCAGATATTGAAGAAAATAAATTGAAAGATTATCATGATAAAGTCGAAACATTTTTCAGTCAGCAGACTCCTGAATGCAAAGAAGCAGCATTATCAATGTATATATCACGATGTAGTGAAGCTAACTATCATCAATTGACAGTTTTATATCAGACGCTGGATCTTTTAGTGAAAGCAAATATTCTCAGTTCCAGAAGCGTTTGTGAGCAAATTTTGGGTTCCGAAAAGTTGGATTATAAACAAGAATTGTTTTTTGTCGAATCGTTTAAAATGATAAAACGATTGATTGGAGGTGTTGATTATAAAGGAGTTCGAGAAATTATGAAACAGTGTCGAGAAAAGGTTAACAATTTTCCAGTTGCATTATCCACAAGTGTTTTGAATCAAATAACATCTGTTGCTGATGTTCTGAAATATATTTTTGATCGTAAGGCATGCTTATTGCCAGCATATTTCATTATCACTGAATTACAGAAACAAGAAAATGCAGATGTCCACTGGAAAATTTCAACATTAACATCAAATTTCATCGAAGAATTTACAGGATTAGCACAAATGTTGTCAATTATTGGTCATTCATCAATGTTGCCAATTTTAGAACCAGCCTCTGCATCTGGATATGGTGACACAACCAATCCATGGCGACTGGATCCAAATTTAAAATTCACAACGCTCAAAGGGAATCTTCCTTACGATGCTGAATTAACACAGCCTCAAGTTGGACTTTTACGCTATGTTCTGCAACAATTGTATTCTAAGGAAATGGTCTGTTCAATGTTAAATTTGCAAAAGCAGAGATCAGCCGTTTTAGAGGAGCAATTAGTATGGATGATTGTTCATGCCATGGAAAAGAGTGAGCAAGAAAGTAATTCAGAATCAAAAATTGATCCCCATGACTCAACACCCTCACATAAGGTACGAAAAAAGAGAATAATTTTTTAAAATTAAAGTTAACTTCTTTTAATAATTTTTAGGAATGGTTATGGCTTCACTTTTCTTCACAACTTATTTATTTTGTGTTATTTCAATGCGCCACGTTTCCAAATATTGTCAATGAATTACATGAAAAATTATCATCAACGAATTTACGCAAAGGACGAGATGATTTAATGTGGGCATTATTACAGTACATAAGTGGAAGTATCCAGAGAAATGCATTATCAAACTTCCTCCCAGTTTTGAAACTTTATGAAATTTTGTATAATGAAAAAGAACCACTGCCTGTTCCAGATGTTAAGCATCCATCAAGCACCAAAAAAATTGCAGCAACATGCATTTACATACATTTATTAAAGAAGGCACAACTTGAGAATATAGCGATAAGGCCTATTCCGATTGCACTACGAAAACATTATGAATTTTTGCAACAATTGTCTGCATCTCCCAATTTGACTATCGGAGATGATTATATCGTAACATTACTATGCAACGCATACTCAACAAATCAAGAATATTTTTCACGACCTATGACAACTTTAATAGATACAATTTTGCTAAATAACAAACCACAAACTCAAGCAAATCAACAAGCACTTACAACAGCACCATTGTCAATGATCTTCTTAGACTCTTTGACAGTCCACTCCAAAATGAGCATTATTCATTGTGTTGTTAATAATTTGATGAAACAAGCAGAAGCTAAAGGAACTATGGTTTCAAACATGACACCATCACATGTAGCTCCAGCATTAGTTGAGACATATTCACGCCTATTGGTCTATACGGAAATTGAATCACTTGGAATTAAAGGATTTTTATCGCGTCTCCTTCCGACTGTCTGTAAATCAAATGCGTGGAGTATTTTGTATACTTTACTGGAAATGTTTTCCTACAGACTATTTCACATTCAGGCACATTATCGTTCACAACTTCTTCTTCAGCTTCACAATTTAACACAAAATTCTCACATAAATTCAGCTCAACTTCATTTATGCTTTGAATCAACAGCTCTTCGACTTTTGACTGGACTTGGTAGTGCTGAGTTTCAATTCCAACTTTCCCGTTTCTTCACAGAACCCAAAAACTTGTCATCAATCGTATCTAATGACAATGAGGAATTAAATCGTGTTTTAATATTGACAATGGCACGTTCTATTCATATTACTGGAATGGGAGATGTTAGAATAACAAGTGGTGACGGTGGTGGAAACAACATGTATCTAATGGATTTACTGCAAATGGTCATGAAAAATACACCACACTCTTGGGCACAACATACTCGAGTATGCTTTCCAAAAGTATTGTCAGAATTTTATGCAAATCATAATGTTCCAGTTGAGGATAAACAAATGCTGAAGAAGTCAATTGAGGAAGAATACAGAAACTTTATGTCGATGAGTAATGAGAATGATACAATATCATATTTCAGCCAGCGACCATTATTCTTATGTCTTCTCTTCAAATTAATCTCTGACACTGGAGAAATTAGTCCAATTGCATACAAAGTTTTAGAAAGAATTGGCGCAAGACTATTTTCTGCACAACTCAGAACATTGTGTGACTTCTTGCTTTTTGAAGTGATGCGCCGCAGTGAAATTCCAAAACTGGTAGATTCAATGAATGACATGATCTGGAAATGGAATATTGTAACAATTGATCGTCTCGTATTGTGCTTGGCTCTAAGAACACAAGAACAAAACCAAGTTGAGATGCCAACTGCACAAGTATTTGTCATTCAATTATTGCTTATTAAAAACTCACACTTTCGGGATCGTGTAATTAAGTTTGTAGAAAGCAATTCACCAGAATATTGGAAGCAATCAAACTGGCATGAAAAGCATGCAGCCTTCCATAATGAATATCCAGAAAAATTTGCACCTGATGAACATTCTCAAGTATTGCCTGTTTACTTTGGAAATGTTTGTCTAAGATTTTTACCGGTACTTGATATTGTCATTCATCGATATTTGGAAATGTCAGTTGAAACAACAGCACCTCTGGAATCAATTTTAAAAACACTTGGATGTCTATATAAATTCCATGATCGCCCAATCACTTATCTCTACAATACATTATTCTACTATGAGGCAAAACTTCGTGATCGTTTGTATTTAAAGAAGGTGATAGTCAGCACAATCATTTTATCATTAAAGGATGTTCGTGAAAAAAGTTGGGCTCTTACAGAACAGTATCAAATTTACGTCAAAAATACCCTCCAAGATGATTCATCAAGCATGATTAAGTGGGTTCCTGATTTGAGCTATTATATGTCACTTGTTAAGCGTCTCATAGAAAGTAAGTCAAACTTATATTTTATAAATGTACACAAATAATGAAATATTTTTATTCACAGCAATTGAAGGAGGAAACATCTTTCCCAATGTGGATTGGCGATTCAACGAGTTTCCTAATCCACCAACTCATGCTTTATATGTAACGGCAGTTGAACTTCTTGGACTTCCAGTTTTGCCACATACTGCTGCAAATCTCTTATTTGATGTCATCGTAAAAGGTTTAGTAGTAATTTCATATCAGCACATTCATACATGGATTAATGCTATTGGTAAGTCCATCAGTTTGATTATTCATTTTGGAATTTGAATGCATTCAAATAATTTTTTAGGATTGATAACTGCAGCTCTTCCTGAATCATATTGGTCAGTAATATATGATCGTCTTGAAGAGATAATCTGTCATCCACAAATGAAGGAATGGACTTATCGTCAGTCCCCATTTGACATGTTTAATTTTAATACAGTAAAATGCGCACTTTTGGATCACAAATTTGTTATGCATTTGGCAATAGCTCATTCAATATTCCACCATTTTAATATTGGCCAAACCTCAAAAATTGTGACATATATTAAGGAAAAATTAGTGCCACATATTAGAACAGAATATCAGTTACTTTATCTCCATCATATTGTTGGACCATTCCTACAACGTCTTGATCCAAAAGACGTCATTGAAATAACAAAAGTGTACTATGAGCTTCTAGAGCTCGTCGATAAAAATATTGGAGAGGAAAACAATTTGGAATTTATGGATCCAATTTGCGATATGCTTTACCACATTAAGTACATGTTTGTTGGTGACTCAATGAAGACTGATTTAGAACCGATTATCAAGAGACTAAGTAATCCACTGAAATCAAGATTAAGATTCATTACAAGACTCGGAGTCGAGGAAATCAAAACAGAAGTAAAACCACCTGTTGTTGCTACTGCCGCTGAGCAAAGTCCTATGATGAGAGCTCAACATCAGCCCATGCCACAACAGCAGCAACAGAAAATTGCTAGAATTTAAATTTTTCTACAGAAAATCCAGAGAATCAAAAAAAAAATAATATAAACTTAAACTTAAGGATTAATTTAACTTTTCAGAGTTGAAAGCTGAAATAATTATTTTAAAAAATATTCATAGTGATTTTCGAGTTTTTAAAAATATTAATTTTTAGATTTTCATGTCTGAATTTTAAAATAAAATTTAAGAAAAAGGAATTTTAAATTTGTTTATAATAATTAAAGTTTGAATTTATTTCTTTATTTCCAGCTTCAATTTTATTTTAAAGATAAAATTGTTTTAGATAAGGTTGAATTTTTATAATATTCAAATTTAGTAAATATCCGAATTTTAAAAGTAGAAATAGATTTTTCATTTTTCAAAGTTGGTTTAAAACAACATTTCAATTTAATACTTTGAAGTAACATTTGCGTTTTGTCAAATATTGTATTATAGTTTTATAAACATTTTCTTTTTTAAATTATTGTCAATTAACTCGAAAACTACGAATTTCAACAACTTTTTTCTTTCAGCATGGTTAAGGTATCTACTGATTCTTATTTTTTACAAATTGTAGCTAACGATGAATTAATAAATTTTATACTTTACTTGATTCGAAGTAGCTTTTCTTTTATTTTCATATAATTCTTAGAAAGTTAAACTTTGATTATTTTTATCATTATAGAAAATTAAATTTATCTCATAAACTGATTTAAACATTTTTTATAATCTTATCACCAAAAAATTTCAATAAACATCGCAAGTTCATTTCTTAACATTACATTCAGTTTCATTATTGTCTTTCTTTAACAATCTTTAAAAGATTAATTTTATTTCATAAAAAAATATGTAAAGATTATATTATTGCCACATAATTATTTTATAAAGAATATATTACTATTATTAAATTTTTTCTTTTTTTAAAAGACACAATTTTTTTTTAAAAATTAAAATGGAAGTTTCTTAAAATTTAGCTCTGAAATTCCAGTACGTCCAAAATTATTTTATCAAAAATTTTTAGTTTCATCAATTTTTCTTTTTCTCAGAAACAGTACTTTTGGAAGGATAAACAACAAATAATCCTAATTGAAATCCACTCAATAGAACGGCAACAAGATTTTGCATTACCATAAATAAACTGTTTAATATTACTCCATAGACAAGCCAAGTTAAACCGACTGCAAAACCCATGAAAATAATGGAAAATGGAAGACCTTCTGTAGATTTCTTACGCATGATTTCTCCAAGTTCAGCCATTGGTGATGCAATAAGGGCATAAAGCAGTAAAGTTACGATTAAACCAAATCGATGCTCAACAAGTTCAGGATCCTCATACTAAAATGACAATGAACAATGTCAAACTCAATTAACATAGTAAAACAATCTTACCTTAGTATAAGCAACCATAACTGCACTAAAAGCACCAGCTACACCAACGCGGAGCCATACATTAAACTTGTCATTCAGTGGAGTATACATATAGAATAATGAGATGTATACAACACTCAATATAACTCCTATCAAGTTCTGTTTTGAATAATTTTATCAGATAATTTCATATTGACATTGACCTTCAATCAATACTTACGACTTTCACTGTAACCGGATCGTTCAGCATTTGACCAAAAACGACGAACATTATTGATCTAATTTTGAAAGAAATCAGTTATGCAACTAATTAGCACTAATGAAATTTCAAAAAAACTCACATAATGCCACCGCCAATAAAAGGAATAATACTGAATCCCTTAGTCGATTTTGCTTTACGGATCTCATTAATCAAAAGAGCTGGAGTTAAGAGCTGTAAAACTGTAATTATAATAGCAAATTGTCCAACAACATCTTTATAAGGATGCAAGATGATTGACAATTTTTCAATCAGTGCTTCCATTGTAAATCAGTTTCAGATTGCAAAATTTTAGGAGATAATAATTTTTTTATGAACTCAAAAATCTGATAAAAAATAACTTTTATTAAATATTCTAATAATTGCACTTGAATGCTTGAAATTCTTTATTGTCTAATAATAAAACTATGAATTGTCATGTAAAATAAAAAAAAATAAAATCGTCCAGCAAAATCAACTAAGGGTAGTACGGTGGAAGAAACACAAAACACAAGTGAAACAAATGTTTTCAAGAATATCGAAAAATATGTTTTCGATATTGTATAATACGAAGATTTTATGGGTGACTATGAATTAGAAAATATACGCAAAACTAATCATTTCTTAATATAAGTTGAAAGCAAAAATTTTCAAAAATTTTAATTCCTCACTTGTAGATACTTTTTATAAAGAATGTCAATAAATCTTTACATTTCAAGAAAGTCTAGTCACCCATCATATAATGATTTGTTTATATATATTTCATATAGTTTTAAAATTTTCATCGAATTTTTTCTCTTATTTTCTTGAAACAAGTTGGAATTTTAAAAGTTAAAAGTACAAATATATCGATGGGAATATGGAAAATAAGAATGCGGAGGCTGTTGGCAATAAAGTAAGAAATTTAATTCATATTTTTCGGCATAATATGTTTTACAATTTTAAAAAGAAGAAGAAACACCGAAAAAATTTGATGAAAAAAATTTTAACTTATGTTTTTATAGATTTTTACGATTTTGAAAAAGTAAGTTGTTGTAGTGAGGATTATTTAAAACTTGAACAAAAATTGAATTTGAAATGTTTTCATCAATTGTCAAAAAAATGAAATTTTAATTTTAATTCAAGAACAGACGAATTAAGTGCATCATGTAAATTTATAAATAGTTTCAAACCTTAGCTCATTCACTCTAGTTTAATTTCTACTTGTTATTTGATTTGAAATTTATGCGAACAAAAGACTCAGTTTTCAAATATAAAGATCCATAAAATATATCAATAAAGTTCATGAAATTTTTACTACATGCTGAAAACAATTGAATAAAACACATTGCCCTCGCAATATTATTTCCAAAAATAATGATTTTACTTTTTATTTCAATTGTTTAGCTTAGAATGATTTCTTTCGAATTCTTATGTGTAGCAAGAGTTCAAATGTTAATTAAATCAACATTTAATTGCTGACTAATATTTTACTTAATTGAAAATTACTGACATTCATTTCAGATTTAGCCACATACAGAGACTTAATTTTTATGGACTTCTGGCGGCACTACTGTTTAATGAGTACATAATTTATTATTTCAATCGATTAGGCTGGGAAAAGGCAGCATGTGGAACAGGTAGTAAGAAAATTACAACATTATGAGCCATAACTGTCATTTTTGATGATTTTATTTTAAGATTCCTGTTCACGAATACTTTTCGTTGCTGATCCCCAAGTACTGGGTGAATCCAAAGAATCGAGATGGTATGCTCGTTATGATAGTGATAAACACATATCTCGTAATTATCATCAAGCAGTATCACATGTCCGACCTGATGTGATTGTATTTTTGGGTGACTTAATTGACGAAGGAAGTTATGCTGATGATTTCTCATATGAAAAGTATTTTCGACGGTTTGTTGATATTTTTCCGGAACCGGATGGTGTGAAAATGATTTTCATACCTGGAGATAATGTAATTATTATTTTAAGAATATTATTTGCTTAAATTTTAAAGTTTTATCATCAATAACAGGATATTGGCGGTGAAGGCTCGGAAATGGTGAAGCCATCAAAAGTGAAGCGCTTTAATAATTATTTTGAAGACAATAGTCAATGGAAATTCGATAACAAATTAAATATTTATCATATTAATCGAATTACGCATGAATTGCCATTGCTTAAGGATAAAGATATGCCTCAAATTGAGGAGAATTCAGGATATACACGAATATTGATTAGTCATTTTTCAATTATTCTAATACCAGGTGCATATTCCTACAAAGCAATTGAAAGATTTCGTCCGCATGTTATTTTCAGTGGACATTATCATAGAAGTTCCCAAATCACATCTGAATTAAAACGACTACGATATTCTACTACTTTACCATTAATGCATTCAATGTCATACGAATTACGTACAATAGAAACAAATCAAGAGGCTTTAGAAATTCAAGTTCCATCATGTTCATATCGTATGGGAGAAGATCATATTGGTTTTGGACAAGCCGTCATTGAAAATGGATACTTGCACTATACACCTCTCTTTATACCTAATAGATTTACACAACTAAGACTTTACGTAGTATTTGGATTTGTACTTATTATTGTTAATATATTGATCTCTCACAATTTCCGAAAGCTTTTAAGAAAATTCAATTTTTCGCGCCAAAACTATCATCCTATTTAAGATTAAGGACAGTTTTTTTTTAGCTAATAAGAAGAAATTTTCATAAAACCTTTATGACAAATAAGTGGACCCAAAATTGATGTCAAGTAATTTAAATTTGCCAAAGATAGATAATGAGTCACATATGAAAAATAATTGTGTCATTTATTAAGCATTGAAAAATTTCCATTCATTAATTTAATTAATTTATTTCTATACTGCATCTAAATTAATTTTGTAGTTGAAATTTAAGGATAATAAAATTTTTTGAAACATTATTCCAAAAATTCGTTTTTTATTGAACTCGGAGCAACATATCGAACAAAATTAAGATGGGCTATTGATTACCAAATTTCTTCTGATTCCACTGAATAGAATAGAATGTAATGTAATGTAAGGTTTTGCTTATAGCAAAAGCGGCACTGCGATCGATGATCTGTTGCACCATCCCAAGATCCCTATGATAAAATTTCAATGTCCTTAATAAAGTCAATAACTTCCTAATGGTTTCTAATAATGCAGCTTATTTATATGCTCATAATTCAAATAGTTCTCATCAAAATGTTTGACACGTTGTCTTCATTGGCCTTTCAAATCCATATCCGGTACCATTACCAACAGTAATGCACCTTCATAAATAGCCGTTGAAAGCCATTCATTGATTTCACTAAAATCAATGAACATCTTTTAATTATTAATCCCTAACAGACAAAGAGCATGCTCTCAATGAGTATGCTCACTTAAATGTACTGACTGAGTTAACTCGTGAGCATACTCAGCTAATATATTTTAGAGAGCATACTCATTGAGAGCATGCTCTTTGTCTGCACATTAATGTGCAACATGTTACTCAAACAAACGCAAAACTTTTTTTATGAAAAAAGAACGACAAAAATTTTATCAATGAAACTTTTCAAACTTATTTCAATGAGAAGCTTGTGTGTGAAATAATTAATTAAAAAATTCAACAGTTTCTGTCCTTATCAGAGGATATTTTTAATGTACAATTGGATTGATAATAATATTATTTTTATCATCTTCCGCTCTCAGATAACTTGACGTGTGTGTATGTGGGTTAAATTCACAAGTGTGAGATTCAGATAGAACTAGCAAAATTGATTAGCATGTGTTTCATAACAGCCAGGAAAATTATTAACTAGAATTTAACACGAGTGCACTTTTTTGATGCCTTGTAAAATATTTCATTATCTTTCGTCACCTGTGACTATCAGACATCCTATTAAAAAAAATCAATTACCAAAGCTTGAGTTATTAACTCGATTTCCTCCCATCATACAACTTTTTTTCATTCAGTAAATTTTATTGAACACAATTGTTATATCAACGTTTATGATAAGCACAAATCTAATCATTTAAAACCCTTCCTTTCAATAATTCTTTGATAAGCTTAAAAGACTTCTATAAATTTTGATACACTTCGTGGTTGCGATTTCAGTATTCTGTGAGTTTTCAAATCAAACGGGAAAAGTAAGAAGGACAAAATGAAATTAATTATTGGATTTATTGTTTCACTCATGCTTGTGCAGGTATGGATACTTTACTTATGAATTTTAATATTTCTCGGATTGAAGATGCTTTTTTTATTTCTCAAGAGGATTAATTAAATTAAAGATTAAGATTGATCCTTTTAGAAAATGACAATAAGAAGATTATAATAAGTCTTTAGTCAGTCATTTTGATTTTTAAACAATTAATTCCATATTCATAATTTCTAGAGTTAAAGCCTAAAATACCTAAAGTGTTACATAACTCAATTTCGTCTACATATTCATGAATATCGATTCATGGATGACAAAAAGTACGAATTCTAGATCCAAAAAGTGCTTAGTAGGATTAAACTTTAAGAATCTTTTTTAATTGCGGCGTATAAAATAGATTTTTATAAAATTTATGTAATTTCCTGTAAACTCTATCAATATTGAGTATATCTCAACCACTTTAAAGCTTGTCGTAAATATTGAGGAAATTGAAAATTTTTAACGATAACTTAGAAGATTAGATAAAAACAAACAAAAAAAAAATTCTTATCTCTTAAAAAGTCATATACAGCTTAATTAATGGAGCAACGTACAGATTGCGTAATTAACCATTAATCTTTTTTTTTAAATAATTTATTTTCAGGCACTTGCCTTGCCAATGGAAGATCCATCAAAACCAGAAGAAATGCCAAAGGAGGTTAAGCCAGCAAATGATGTTGTTGATGCATTCCGTAGAGATATTTTAGCCCAATTCTATCGTTTCCAAACATTCTATGACTTGTTCAATGAAAGAATGACACACTACCGTTTAGCTCATGTTGATTTAGTCACAGAAATTGGATTAGCTATGATGGAAGTTTTCTCAGTAGATCTCGATATCATCCGTCAATCAAAGGACTATGTTGATATGCAATTCAGAAATGCAGTTAACCGTCTTGGTGGAACCCCAAATGCTTGTCTCAATGAAGTTCAAACAGCTTTAGATACTAACTCAGCCAGACTTGGCTCAGAATTCAATGCATGCGCTCGTAGAGCAAACGGAACAATCAGCAATGGATTAGCTGAAATCTTCTACCCAACATTCGATAGCATCCAAAACTCTGCATCAACAGTCCCATTGTTGACCCTTAGTGCACTTTCACGTGGTAATGTCTTCGATGATTCACAAGAAATCCTCGATTACTTACAAGCACAATACGAAGTCATCAGCTTGCAATGGAAATCAGCTGCATCACAATTGCTCAGATGGGAAACAAACCGTTTCAATGTTGAAGGAAGATTCTATGTTGAAGAAATGTTGCTCTGTCTTCTTGAACCCGTCGAAAACTACCGAAACACCAACACATTCAACATGTATCGTATCGTTGACGAGTGTGCTCCAATGTAAAATCTTCACTTAATTGATACTGCTTCATTTTCTTTCCACGGAAATCTTTAAAATACACTATGAAAATGAATGATTTAATAAATTAAAATTTTTAAAATAATATCTTTGATTTGAATTTTATGTTTTATAGTTTGTTTATTAAAATCTTAATCAATTGCTTTCAGAATCTATTAATTTCAAAAAAGTTCTTCAACACATACAAAGAAAGAGGAAAGTTTAGTAAAATGCAATCGAAAGAGTTGGTTAAACTCAATAAGAAGTGATTAATGTTCCATTAACGTGTGTTATCTTTGCTAATTCAGTCTCTTGATTTAAGTGTGGCATCCGGTTGAAAAATAATGATAAACTCTAATTTACTGTTAGGAATTACGAATTCATCAAGAATGAAACTTGTTTTCAAAAAAAATCAGATGATGCCAAATAAGCTCAAATTGAACTTTTTATGGATCTAATAATCTCTAAGTTTCATGCTTCATTACTCAGAATAAAGACTGAATAATTTTGATTAACTTAATCTTTAAAAGATATCAAGTCAAAAAAAGTTGCCTTTAAAAAATATTTTAATGGCTTCTTTCCAGTATCAATCGATTTCCGTACTGAGACCAACAAAAGCTTATCTGTTTATTTTGTTATGAATGAAAAAGAAGTTAAACTTTATCACGAAAAATAGCTTGATTGTGGTAATCAATTGTAGCTGAATGTTGATAACTTTTATTAGGGTATATATCTTACGGTAATAGCATCCAACAATTTTAGTCTTTAATAAAAAGGCATTTTAAAAGGAAGTTATTGCTTAAGTTTTGAAAATGAAAAGTCTTATCGCAATTGTTGTTCTTGCTCTCATATCACAGGTAAATTAATTATTGAATTCTTTGCACAACGAATGTGAACACAGCATGATCACTTAACAGATATAAGATAAGATAGATATGTAAAGAGATTTAATATTTTCAAAAATAATAATAAAGCTTGATGTGATGTTTAAAAAGATTTAACAGACAAAAACGCAGTAAATCTAGTTCAAAATATGGCAAATTATTTAAAAATTAAAACTACTTTAATAAATTCTATTTTAGACATTTGCGTCATCAGTTCCTGAAATCAAAGAGGATGGAAATATTCGTGTTGATGATTTTTATGACGAGATAATGTACAAATTTCAACGTTTTAACGGTTTCTATGCTGAAATGAACTATCAAATGAGAAGGTATCGCCTTAGTCATGTAACATTGGTTGAAACAATTTACATTCAGATGATGGAACTTTTCGGTCAACATTTAGATTTTATTAGAAGAGCATCCGTTGAACTTGACGAAGCTCTTGAAATAAGAGAAAATGAACTTGGTGGTATAACTGAATGTTTACAAGGTGTCGTAAATAGAAGAGATCGTCTTTCTGAGGATATTACTCGTGATGTTCGTGTCTGTTCACTTCGTGCAAATAATACAATGCAAGCACAAATGCGTGATGTATTTTATCCAACGTTCGCTGATATTCAATCAGAAGTGCTTTTTATTAATTTGATTGTAATGGATGCTTTATCAAGAGGAAATGTGATGGATGATGAGGATGAGATTATTGAATATTTGAATGGTCAATATCAAGTTTATACAACTCAATGGCCTGGAGCTGTAACACAACTCCTAAAATGGGAACAAACAAGATTTACAGTCGAAGGAGAGTTTCTTGTTGAAGAAATGGATATGTGTTTAAGAAATCCTGTATTAGAATACATGCGACAAGCTGCAAGTCTTGAGTATGAAGCACACATGTGTTAAATTTTAAAATTTTTGACTTTTTATTTTAAAATTTTTGAAAGGAAAGAAAAATGTGTAATAAAGTCCAAGAAAAATGATTGAGTTTTTTTAAAAAATATTTTTTTTCTTTTTGTTCTCATTTGAAATGAAGAAAATTTTTACTTTGTAATTTCTGGAGGTGAATCTGGTTGCGCTGAAGGATGAGCTGCTCTAAATGCCGGATGACTTTCAAGTTCACGATCAATTCGTAGAATTATTGGATAAGGCCGTAAATCGACATGGAACCTGAAAATTTATTTGGAATCGTATCGATTTTAGTAAAATTAATTTTAGACTGCATAGAATTTTTTACCTTCTTGCGTTAAAAACCTGAGGAACCAAACAACAATCTGCCAAAGTAATTTCATCACCAACACAGTATTTGCCGGCACTTGTTGATAAAAGCTTTTCAACGGCTCTAAATCCTCTTGTTATCCAGTGCTGAGCCCATTCCTTCTTTTTCTCTTCGCCAACATGAATTAAAACAATCAGATTCTGCAATGGCTGGATACCTGATGCAATGATTTCACATATCTCTCTGACTTTTGCTCGCTTATAGAAGTCTTGTGGCAATAATGGTCTTTGGGGACGAGTTTCTTCTAAATATTGCATGATTGCTACCGATTCAACGAGTGTATGACCATCAATTTGTAAAGCTGGAACTTGTTCCATTGGATTTACTTCTCTGTATTCATTGCAATGCTGCTCACCGCCTGATTTGATCAAGCTTATCGGTTTTATGTCATATGGAACTTCTTTGAGATTAAGACATATTCGAACTCTCCAACTGCAACTTGATCGCCAGTAAGAGTAGAGTATTGGCTGTGAATCATCAAGAAGTTCTTCATTAAATGACATTTTAATCCGATGAAATAATTAAACAGACTAAAATTCAAATTCTAAATCAAATATTCTTTATCTAATATTCAAGCAAAAAACAATATAAAACATCCAGTGGAACCAGTTATTCTTGTTAGTAATGAAGCCGACTACCTTGCTATGCTAATTTTCTTGTTCTGCTATGAAAATAAAGTGTTGTGTTTCCTTTAATACTTGCCAGTTTATTCATGATGTTTTATCGTTGCGACGTCAAATAAAAATAATTCACACACAAAGATTTAAAATAAATGAAAAATAAAAATTATCAAATTGTAAACAAAAGCACTATACAGAGGAAAAAATAATGATTGAATGCACAAATTTTCTACCAATCAGATAAAGACACTTTAAATAATTTTATTTATAAATTCTACCTTTATCCCTGGTTGCAGGGAGCTATTATACTTTGAATAATTAATTTTGGAAATTTTTTGAGATATGGAATGTTAGAAATAAATTAAAAATATTTATTTGAAACTTAGAATATCCTTTTTGCTTCGTACTATCTGAGGAAACTTTTTCATCTAGTACTTTCGAACTTTTTGAATTATTTTTAACAGTTAAATCTAAATGATGTTTAATAATTGTTTCTGGATTTTTCTATCAACTCAGACAGAAATTTATGAATTGAATGAACAAATTTATGAATATATTTATGCATCAAAAAATTGAGATTTTTTCAAAAAATATACGGTTTTTAACTATGTTTTGACTTCAATTGACTATAATTGCATATTCCAAGTGAGTGGAGAGACAAGTTTTAACTGTTTTACATATCCCTTACTTGTACCTTTATAAAACTGTGAAAACCTGGAAATAAGTTCCACCAAATTTTAAGCTTTGAACCATTTGAAACATGTCATCTGCATGAACCCCAAAAATCTTTTTCAACTTTTTTCATCAAAACCATGTCCAAATTTGATAAAACTCTCAGGAATGTTAGAAAATAGTGTTTCTGATGTTTTAAAATCAATTTGAGTTTTTGGCATGGACTTGGACCATTTTTATTTGAAATGTCATCATTTTTTTATTTTCAATAAGATGTAAATGACTTTAAAAACACTATATGCTTAACAAAAAATATTTGTATTACCTTTTATGTTAAACTGCTAAATTACCTTTCCAACAATATATAATATATCATATATGAGCACAATATCTCTGAATAATGTTTAAAAAACTGAAAAATTACTCAAAATTCGAGGTGTGTGAAGAACCATACTTAACATTTTGGTTCAAAACTATGTAAAATCTCAAGTATATGTCATAAATTTGGTATTGTTGGAAAGATAAAAGTACTGACTATAAGATAAAATCAAATTTTGAGTTGAGAATTTACCCAAGGCACTGCTAGCGTATGGGAAACATGTCATAGTTTGACTAGCCCTATCAGATACAGTAAAGATAAAATTTTTATTTTTTCTCATGTTTTCTACAAAAACATACTTGAACTATCTGAAAAACACAAAAAAAAATACTTATCGGTAAATATTTGCAGTAAATGAGCTTATAGAAAGTATCATAGATTTTTCTAAATTATATTAGATCATCTAAAAATCAATCCTTTTTCTTCGTACTAGTATGGTGCGTTAAATGTTTAAAAACTATTTTTTGGTGTTTTTCATATAGTTTAAGTATGTTTCTGTAGAAAACATGAGAAAAAATAAAAATTTTATCTTTACTGTATCTGATAGGGCTAGTCAAACTATGACATGTTTCCCATACGCTAGCAGTGCCTTGGGTAAATTCTCAACTCAAAATTTGATTTTATCTTATAGTCAGTACTTTTATCTTTCCAACAATACCAAATTTATGACATATACTTGAGATTTTACATAGTTTTGAACCAAAATGTTAAGTATGGTTCTTCACACACCTCGAATTTTGAGTAATTTTTCAGTTTTTTAAACATTATTCAGATATATTGTGCTCATATATGACATATTATATATTGTTGGAAAGGTAATTTTAGCAGCTTAACATTAAATGTAAAACAAATATTTTTTGTTAAGCATATAGTGTATTTAAAGTCATTTACATCTCATTGAAAATGAAAAATGATGACATTTCAAATAAAAATGGTCCAAGTCCATGCCAAAAACTCAAATTGATTTTAAAACATTAGAAACACTATTTTCTAACATGCCTGAGAGTTTTATCAAGTTTGGACATGATTTTGATGAAAAAAGTTAAAAAAGATTTTTGAGGTTCATGCAGATGACATGTTTCAAATGGTTCAAAGCTGAAAATTTGGCGGAACTTTTGTCTAGGTTTTCACAGTTTTATAAAGGAACAAGTAAGGGATATGCAAAACAGTTAAAACTTTTCTCTCCACTCACTTGGAATATGCAGTTATAGTCAATTGAAGTCAAAACATAGTAAAAAACCTATACTTTTCGAAAAAATCTTAATTTTTTGATGCATAAATATAATTTTTAACCTTGAAAGGGATATTTTTCTTGTAGATCTAGTAAAAAGATACGATTGAATGAAAAAAGAAAAACATTTAAATGCATCGGAAATCCACATACTCAAAAAAAGTGTGCCGTACTACTAACATTTGAAGATTCGTCAATTTTTAAACACTTTCCATGAAGTAAAACTTATGTGACAATTATTTATATTAAAACTTCGGCTAATATTTGTCATTTAAAAAAGTTTCATGAAAATTGGTTGAGACAAGAAAAAGTTGTGATAAATTGAAAATATCAACTATCGAAGGTCATCAACATACATTTTGGACTATATCTCCAGCACTGCTGCACTTTGGGCCAAAATTAAAATAGATTCTGATTCCTTGACCTTTCAAATAAGCAAATAAAAAAATTTCGATTTTATCCCATAGTGCACTCCTGAGCAATTTTAACCTTTCCGTCATTTACAAGCCAATCACCAGATTGAATAAGGTCACACAAAATCATACAATAAAAGATAAAATCATTGCGAATCAGGAACTTGCTTTTTAATATACATTCGCAAATCATGTGCATCAACTTCACCAATTTCATCACGTCAATAGTGCACAAAAACTTCGTCACTTTGAAAAATGTGAATCCAATCATCCCTAATTGGGAGATAGAGTCTCACATTCATTTCTTTTTAAAAAACTAAAAGCAACAAAATGTATAGAAACTTTGGCCATACTCAAATTATTATGAGAAATTTTCCCAAAAATTCAAATAATCAAAAATATCTAAATTCAGCAATGATCAGATTAAAGTCAGTATGTAGATCATCCTAGAATATTTAAGAAAATCCTCTTATACACACATGATTGAACAATAACCTACGATTCCAAATGAGTATTCAATAAAAAATTCTTCAAATTTATTTCAACTATTTTTTTTTTATCAAAGCAATCGAGTCTTAATATTGAAAATCATTTTTTTCCAAACAAGACAAAATAAATTAAATTCTTCAGATAAAAGGACAAAGACTGACATTTTCATTGCAATGATAGATGAATCCAAACAAGCTTTAGGCTGATTATAAGAAATTTACGTTTCAAAAAGACGAAAAGATGCAGAAGAAAATTAATACTCTGAAGTTACAAATCAAGGAAGAAGTTGATAAAATTCAAGAATAAGAAAACAATTGAATAATAAACTGAAATCAATGATTGAATAACACAAGAAATAGAACCAGAACAAAGTGATTTCTTATCCGAATTAAAGAAATTGCATTTGGATGAATAAGATTAAATGATTACCAATCAATTGGATATGATTCTAGAAGAAGCTGAAATGATCAGCGATCAAGAAAAGTGTTTTAAAGATCATGAAAATAAAGCCAATCTATTGAAAATGGAGTCGGTCAGAAGCACAATATAGTTAAACGTCAAATTGAAGAATTGACAGATGAACTGAAAGCTTCGTTTAATAAAATGAGAATCACGAGTATTTGTTGCTTTGAGTCACATCGAAAGTATCTTCAAGTTAAGGAACTATTTAAAAAATCTCAAAAGAGTTCAGTTGATGCAATTGATGTGTATTTTAATCAATAAAGTCTATGAATGAATAGATCCAGACACTTAATGCTAAGAGTGAAGACGCGACAATGCTTTAGTTATTAGAGCGAGCACATATAGAAGAAACGGAGCAAGAGAAATGTCAATTGCCAAGGTAGACGAATATGTATAGGGAGAGTCTGATGAACAGCCAACAGCTGACGCTTAGAAGAACAATTTCAGCGACGTGAAGAAACTGAAACTGTTTGTTGAAAGACAAAGAATTTATTTGTGATGAGAAAGTTGAGTGAACCAAAGACGCGGAATTCAAACATCGGATCCAACTTGTCGAAGGCTGATTCTAATGGTGAGTGACATTTCTTATTCAGAAACATGATTTGATTATTATAACAGTGTATTCCAAACTTTTTGTCACCAACCACACATTATTGGGTCAATTTTTAGCGCATTTTTGTATACTTGTATACAAAAAGGGAGCTTAATAATGCTCTTTGTTCGTTCGTTCGTTCGTTCGTTCGTCTGAAGAAAAACTTTTTAAGCAGACATCCTAGAGAGCTCAGGTTTGTTTTATTAGCTCCTTTACTATTGTTTATTGTCCGATCGAAGAGTTAAAAGTCTTGAAACAGTGTATTTATGCTATAATTAATTAATTTTTGTTTTGTTTTCAGTGTAACCTGCTCAAATTTTACGTCCCACCGTCCTGTCAATTTTTTTTGGCTCAATTGATATCCTCATTAATTTATAGGTATCATAGGTCATTAATTTGCTCAACTTGATACGTCTTTTATTACTTTTAGGATAAGGGAATACTCAGTTGTGAGCAACTAAGACAATAATCAAGCAAGGAGCATCAACAACTTTTCTTTTGATACCATCAAATGAGCAATGTGAGGATCCATTGTCAACATTTTGTGATGTGCCAAGAATTGAGATAAAACTTTTTTTTTCGTTTAAAATCATTTTTAAAACTACATAAGGGACAAAATGCCCCACCGTCCTGTCAATTTTTTTT